AAATGGGGGCAAAAACAAAAGTGTTGCGTTTATAATTTTGTTCAGTGTATATAGTAGAGTCTATCATTGGAAACATGGTAGGCTATTAAAATAAAAAAACTGTGGTTACGATCTAGGGCGCCCCCTGCTGTCTACAAACCTACCTTGCAGGCCACGAATCTAATCATGAGTTTATTGCCTTAAAATTTACATTTTTAGGTGTTATTCATTGTTCTTACTTACTAGAATCCTTAAACCCAATATGAGTAACATCTGTGTAATAACAACCAAAACACATGCACAATTATAAATTATAAACAGCACAAATTTCATAAACATAGCCTGAACCACTGGTTTATGACAATTCAGTGATAGCTACAATTTCAATGTATCTTCGGGTAGACCACTAATAATCCGCGTTTGTGCGACCTACAGACTGTCACTGTGAATCAATGTTGCCAACTAATTTTCAGGGAATGTTGCTAAAAGCATGTAGATTTGTTGTTAAAAGTTGCTACATGACGTTGTGACGTTACATCAAATATGTAACAATGACGCAAAACCGCATCATTGCATAGAATGCACAATATATGATTCAAAATATGTTTATTTTGATTTGTTCATAACAATAATTTAAATTTAATATATATTATTTGTAAAAGTCATATAAACACGTGTTTATGATCAGATATTTTCATATTTAAATACTACACTGAATTATTAAACAGTTGCACATTTTTAAACAATTGCTTTTTATGTAGCTATTTTCTTATAAACTATAAAATGACACATTCCGAACAATTATAGGCCTAGTTTTAAGCAGTGTATTGGTAGTTAGTAAGCTACAGTTTAAGAAAAGTCCATAGGGCACAATGTACTGTGTTACAGTAATATGAAGGATTTTTTTCACAGGTGTTTTACCTGTATTTTAAATTATGCATTGTATTTTGTGTTTAAAGGAAATATCTGTAAACTTAACACATAATGCCCTGCCAGAAAAATTATCAGTACATTTTCTGTTTTTCTTACAGTGTATCTAACTGATCACCAATAATAGGAACAAACAATGTGTATCACAAATGAACAAATATTATTGAACTATTGCAGCTAGCAACTTGATTCACATGTCATCTCTGTACTGTTAAGTACTTCTCTCAAATCTCTACAGGCTGATGTGCTGCTTGGCTGGCTAGCTCATCAATATTTTTTTTCTTTTGTGTAATTTAGTGTAAATTTGATTCACTTTTCAAAAGTTGCTAAAAGTTGCCAAATTAATAAGAAAAAAAAAAAGAAAAAGCTACATTTGTTGCTAGGTGCTTTAAAAAAAAAAAAAAAGTTGCTAGGGCAGTCTGACTTTTCCGTAAATATTCGATTATATTGATACGCCAATAGGTGGCGACAAATAACCGTCTGTGAGCGAGTCCATTACTCATTTAATGAATCAGAATCATTTAGTCAAACGATTCAGACTCATTTGGGAATGAATTTACACTAGTGTGTTCGTGATGTTGCAAATACATAACATATATGGATTTTGGTTGGATTTTTATTTTTTATTTTTTGTTTTATATAATAAAACCAGTCGTTTTTACACAATCTTTCAACTTTATTATTCAGGATCAATGTGTTCAACAATAAATACATATATTTCTAAGCATTAACCACTGCGGAATGCTACAGTAGTGTCCATTTATTTTATGTCAGGCACTTTATAAAAAACAATCATGGGGAAATGTGAATTAAATTAAATGTAAATCTATTAATAAGCTTCCCACTAACTATTGATCCGTTAAGTATTACGTTTCATTTTCTCTCACCATTCAAGTTCAATATGTGCAGAAAAAGAATGTAGAATGTGTACAGAGAATATGTACACTGATGTACAATTAATTGAAGGTTTCTTTCATTTCACAAACAATATGTACATAAAAGACTATACAAAATAACCATACATGTCGACATTTATGATAAAGTAGGCCCTAGTTGTAATGTCCAGCAGGAAACAATTTGACTCCTGGTCCATGTAAACTCACAGATACTGATGAGGAGGAGTAACACAGATGGGCATAGTATGACCACAGAAACATTTCAGTGAGCTTATGGTTGATAATAAATTCTGCAGGCCCATCAATGCTGTTTTGTGCTGTAGTGACCTTTCACAAAAAAATAAATAAATAAATATCAACATCATTCATTGTCCGGCCCATTTCTGGAGTGGTTTTGTCACTGAAACACGTCACCATGTAAACCACAAATAAATTATTCCAACAACATTTTGTTAAAAGTTTGTTAAAAGTAGCCTATGCTCATTTTCAAGATGTTCAAAAAGTATTTCCAATTATACAACAAACAAAATGACATACAACATTTCTGTGTGTTTCTGGAATACTACTAGATAATTAGTATTCAGACATTTATATTCCTTCTCCTCTCTAAAACAGAGTAAATAAATGTTGTCATATGATGGTGACGAGAACTGCACTAAACACTAATTGTGTACTGTAAGACATCTTGTACTGTAGATTTCATTTCTTTGATGTTGTAACAAGACAAAAAAATACCAATAAATACATTAACTTCTGGTTCTTCCTCTGACATTGAAGCATTGTGCTTAAACAATGCTGGAATTCATCACAAAACTAACACTCTTCCTAATTAAATAATGTTATAAACTGCTTTTAGGAATGTTGAATAATAGAACTGCCTATTATTCATCAAAAATGAAATGTGTTCATTTTTTTTTCATGTTATTGTGGCTCAGTGGTAGAGCATTGTGTTAGCAGTGCAAAAGGTTGTGGGTTCGATTCCCAGGGATCACACATACTGGTAACAAATGTATAACCTGAATATACTGTAAGTCAAAGCATCTGCTAAATGTGTAAATTATTATTATTAATTAAATTATGAAACTAACTGAAATTCACATGCAGTGGGGTCCAGAGGTTTGAGACCAAACTGAATATGTGGGATTCAAAATCAAAATTAACTAAAATGTTAAAGGATTAGTTTTAGGATAAAAATCAAAACAAAAAATACATATATTTGAAGATTATGATTAAATTAAGTTGTTTAGGACCATCAGATTGTAACATTCCACTTGTTGTTATGCTGATAATATTGTTTTTAGAATGAAAATTGTGTATTAAACTAGAATTTTCAGTAATAAAAGATTTTTGGACCCCAAAATATGCACTATGAGCTGTAGAAAACGGACTCTGTAACTGTAAAATTGCTCTGTGTAGAAGGAGGTAGACTTCAAACTGCATGTTTACAACTTTGGCAATATAGATGAGTGAATTCTCATCTCAGTTTCACAGTTTTCCATCAGTATTGTGTAGTTTAGGAAGTTCCATCTGCCAGTCATAACAGCAATACCTTTGTGTGTAAAATTGGCTTTCATTAAAAATTCCATAAATATTTTCAAAATGTTCTTAGAGCATCATAGCTTTAATTATTATTAAGATCATATGTTACCACTCTTCTTTGCATTCTTCTTGAAGTTAGGTAACTAGCCATTTTTCATTTTGGACATACTGAAATTGAGGAGTTGACTTGTTTGATATCTATCAAACTAAATGAAACTGAACCTGGTGCAGAGGTTGCAGGTTCAAGAGTTTTGTGTTCTGTATTAGATTTGGTCTTTAAGTGTTGGAATCCAGTTGTGCTCTCTCAGTGGCCACCCGACGTCTTCTTTCCGGTGACCCACTCTATTATGATGAACGTAATGCTCATAATCATGAAGATGAAACCCAGTGTCACAAATGCAATTGCCTGGAAAACATAACACAAAGTGAGAAAAAAAAGAAGCCATATATCTATGAGAATGTACTTACATTCTGTCTGATTCTCACTTGGATCTTTGGTCGAGATTTCAACGGCTCCTGTTCTTCAGGGACGATGCAAATGTAGAATATTCCCGGAAGAATGAAAATGAGGCTGGGAGCAGATGTGGCACCTAAAACAAAAATCATTCAGCTCAGTTCGGTATTTGTATTATGTTCATGTGACCGTTAAATCCTCTATGTGGCAGATCTGACTTACCGATGAAGCCGAAGATGTCACGAATGTTGGGCACAAAGATGACGAGCAGGTTGACTAAGAAGAGGAGGCATACAGCGATGGAGATGTGACGCACCCAGTGGAAAGGCTTATCAGGGAAAAGAAGCTGCAAGACGGCACGACGAATCTAGAGAAAAACAATGCAGCACTGTCAACACCCAACCAGCACGATTATGAGGAATTATATGCAAGCAATAACTAATGAGCCAGGAAAACCAGAAAAAATTGAAGTACCGGGAAAAGGACCACGGGAACGGTCAGTGTCACTGCTATCAACACAGCCAGCCGAACACACAGCATCAGGGTGTCTTTTTTACTGTACATCTCCAGAAGCTCTGACTTCACATTTCCTGCACATATGTAGACACACAGTGATTGTTAAAACTTTTTCAAATATCACAAACCTTGAAATTCTGGTACTTTGATCATTATTTACAATTTATTAATTTATAATTATAAATAATTTATTATTTGATTATTTGTTTGTAAAGTTTCTCTTACCATAGAAGGTAAGGTAGCCAAAGATGGCAGTCACCAGGTACATGACAAACATGGTCAAAATGGAGATATTAGCAACCTTTTGCATGCGTTTCTTGCTTGGACTGAAATAACAAGGAAACAAAAAAGCAAATATATCAGTACATAAAAAAAAAAAGATTTTTAAAGCCAATGTGAATGAACAAAAGTGCAATTCCAGTCTTACTTTTTGAGTTCTGTGTAAATGGGCAACACTTCGGGGTGACACACAAAAGCAAACGCTATAATGGGAATGGTAAAAGCAGTCTGTGAGGAATAAAAAACATGAAATTAACTGATAAATTCACTGTGTTTAATGTGAAGCAAAAAGGACACATGATAATAATTGTCTGATTTGCAGTTTACATCTCTAACCTGTGGGTTGATAGTTATAAGTTTGGCTTCACACATGCCATCGGTGGAGTTGTATATGCTTTCAGTGGGCACAGTTTTGTTATAGCTGTGTTCCCCAGGACACTCTGTGACAAACTTCTTGTAGATGACCTAATAAGACACAATGGAGAGAGATGCTTTTATTTGTCATAACTACATGTCAGTCATTATTTATGTAGACTGGTGTTTTTATACTGTATGTAGGTGGATCGAAAGTGGACTTACAGATATGAGGAAGAAGACCATGCAGCTGAGAGAGAAACCACTGGTGTAGCCCAGATACCCTAAAATAAATGCATAAATACATAATAAATGCATGTACAGCGAAAAGCCAATAGCGTTGATTCCTTCGCCCATGAAATTTTGCCGAGCAACGGTAAATGTTAAACGACTTTGAATTTAAAAGCGGCGTTTGGTACACTCAACACAGATCTTTAGTGCAGACGTGTAGGCTAAATGTTTGATTGTGATTATTATGAAATATAATGGAATGACAAATGACAGAGACAGAAAACAAAATGAAAGAATGAGATGAAAGGAGGCAGGAACCTACCAAGTCGTTTCATCAATGCCAAGGGAAGAATGACCAAGACACTAATGATAATGATGAGATACCTCCCATCAACAAACCAGTAACTGACAAAGAGAATAAATGTAAATGTTTTGCACAACATATGTCAGAAGGAGTGATATGATTATGAAAAGCAGTCAGAAAGTACACTTCAGATTTTGTTTTAGCTGCATGCACCGAGAGTTATAAATTAAACAAAAATGAAATACAGTGAGGTCCAAAGTCTATTTAGAATTTAAGAAGGATCCATATTGAGAACACCTGACCTTTGATACAAAGGATTTGACATGCTCAATGTCACAAATTTGCTTATTTGAATTAGTGACCTTGAAATAGTATATAATCTATAGTGCAAAATAGTTCTCACTCATTTTACATCAGGTTTATTTGTTTGATCCTTTTCAGAATCTTAAAACTTTTACAGTTTTGAACCTCACTGTATCCAGCACATCAGGATCAGTACTGTGTTCTGGTACTCACTCTGAGTTATCTGGCAGAAGACCCTGAATAATATGAGGTAACTCTATTTTCACAATGAACAGGTAACTGGACATTGCTGTTGGATGAAAGAAAGAAACATTGAGTGTTGTAGTACATCTGTATTCAGTGCTCATATTGTTTTAAGTGGTTATCCCTGACTTTGCTTTATCAGCTGTCATGTCTTTTTGACATTGTGAGTAACTACTGAAATGTATAATACATTTAATTTTACCTCCAATGTTGTTCAGTGTTATAATGCATGCTGCTAATATTTTCCCAGGTCGACCAAATGCACGGTTTCCGAGCTGTTCATATGCACGGATCCCTACACACACAAACAAACAGAATGGAAAGTTCAGAAAAAAGTCATGATGCAATTTTAACATAGAGTGTGATGTTATCAGGATTGTCTTGGAGATAAAAAATAAAATGTTTCTCACCAACCACTCCTGCACTCTTCAGAAGCAGGTGTATGGAGTAGGCAGAGAGAATAGCCATGCTTGTCAACAGGAGTCTGCAAACAGGTTACACAAATAATGAAACTAAGCAACAGCAGCAGAAAGCAACTTCCCATGTGGACTGCGAGAATAGTTCACCCAAAATTTAACCACCTCATTTTGTTCCAAACATGTATGTCTTTCTGTCTTTGGTGGAGTAAAAATGAAAGTCAAAGAGTTCCAAAACAAAATTGGAATCCACTGACATTCACTGTATAGAAAAAAAAATGAGATATTTTAAAAATAGGTTTGAAACAACATGAGGGTGAGTAAATGATGATAGAATTTACATTTTTGGGTGACTTTCAATTTAATAACCTGCGTAGATGGATATTCAGTGAAATCTTTTTCCCACAACATTATTTCTTATAGATTGTCAGACTCATCAGCCGGTCATTTGACTTTCAGTAGTGCTAATGTAATCACGATTAGGCGGCACAAACTGCAGTTTGATCAGGGATATTATCACCAGTCGACAAGGAGATGACAGAGGAGACACAAATCTAACCCCTAATCTCATTAATGACGCATTAGACAAGCTGGGAGTGTAATTCTTTAGAGTACAACTAACAACAACACCGTCACACACACACACAAAAAAAAAAGACTGTACTAAAGGCATGCAAAATAAGTCAATGACGTGTACTATTAGCTAACATTTTCCCCTATTTGCATATTGCTGAATGTTTAGATTGGCAGTAAGTTTTTTGTTGTTGTTGTTTTAGCTGTTGAGATCGAAACTATACTAGAAAACTTTTTTATTTTTTTCTTCTCTCTCTCTCTTTTTGTACAACAAGCTGCTTGAAAAGCCTGGCTGAGCTAGACAGACAGACAGAGATACAGAAAGACAGACAGGCTTTGGTTTGATTACAGATTACAGTAGGCTATTTATAACCCTCTCAGGTCTGATCTGTAAGCTGTGCATGTCCGTGTGTCACATCATAGACAAACACAGTGACATTTAAGCTCCCTAGTACACAAATAAAACCCTGTCATTCACAAGGATAAGCAATTGCATTTGTTCCATCAAGGAGCATAGTTCTATTTTGTTGTTTTATAGTGTATCAGAACTTGATAATTCATCCTAGCACTGGATTTGTAAGGAACATGGTACATGGAGGCAGTGAAATTGAAAGAATGAATTTTTAGCACTGGGTTTGCCCGACTCCTCCTCACAGCGGCCTCTAAGTTACATGATACATCATCCAAGAAAAAACATGCAAATATTTTGTATTGACTTAGCATCTGTAAGGCTGGTTGTGACTGGCACATGTACGTGACAGAGGCACGCTGGAGTATGGCTATATGCCTACAGTTAAATGCAGGTGGACACAAAGAAGCCTTAATGCTTGGTCAGACACGCATATGGAACACACGCATTCCCTCCATACTAACTGAAGCTAATGAATAAAAGGCAGCCAAATGCCAAAGAGAGACTTATTCCACTTCTCTAGAACCTGAAATGTTCTGTTTACATTTTTAACTATGAGCACATACCAGAAAGACTAGAGAGTCTTCAACTCACGATTTACACACAGTACTTTTTTTGTTTATGACATAAAAGAAACACTAGAACTCATTTTTTACTATCACACCTTTAATAACCTTTATTTTTCTTATGTATTTATACCATAAATCAACCTAAATGCAAATGCTTGATTGGAAGTGTAGTTTGACTTACACAAAAAGGATGATTCCGGTGTTGGCCATGGCGTAAGCCAGTCCCAGAATTCCACTGCCCAAAATGGCGTTACTGAGGTTGAAAATAGACATTCCGAAAGAAGTCTTTCCCACAAACTGCAATGAAAGTTGAATGTTGTGTTAGTCATGAATTGTATATCTATTTATCTGAATAGGTTCTTTTAACTTAAATAGTAGATTCACTTTTTCTGTGTATTAACTCCACAAACAATTATTAGGACGGAGTAGTTAGAAGTTATTCCTACTGTTACACATTATACTTAACTGTAATATAGAGTGTCTATGTTTGTGAGTCTTTTACATCATTCTAATCAGTTTCACCCAGCCTTATACAGTAAGTTTTTGTGAAGGCAGTTCTGAAATCTGGATACTCACATCTGTAAACTGAATCTCTATCTTTCCATTGCTCTTATTGGGGAGGAAGGTATCACCCTCTGTTATGTTTTCAAGGGCATCGAATCTGTGTAATATAAGCAAAATGATTTTGTTTTGTTTTGTTTTGTTTGCAAAGTAACAATGATACATTTGAATTGCTCTGTTTTGAGCTCTATTTCATCTTGCATTGGAAATGTTTTTTTTTTTAATGCAGGAAATGAGGCAGCTACTGAATCACTTTTTGACCTTTTAGCAGGTGAGGACTCTTAAGATATAAGATTTATTCGTAATTGCATTAATGCAGCAGGTTTGTGAATGCTGTATTAATAAATGCCTTTAAAACAGCGGCTGCAAGCTCAAATTACCTGGTTACTGGACTGCTTTTTATTTAAAAAAAATGTGTTAATTGAATTGTTAATAAAGCTGAAATAAAATAAAATATTAGATGAAAACATGTATAATAAATGTAAGTACTAAAACTACTAACTGATAACATACTGATTACTAACTGATACTAACGGAAATAAAAATTAAAACTAAATATTTAAATGATACTTTATTAAAAACGAAAACTAATAAAAATGACAACATAAATTATTAGAAATTACACTAAAATGAAAATGAAATAGAAAATATAAAAATAAAAAGGTAATTTAAAATATTAATAAAAATACTGATTTGGTTTAATATATTATATATAACATACATGTATGAGATAACATTACTGGCTAAACCAACATGCAAGTGAAAATTGACCTGAGGTCTGATTTAATGATAGTCTATTAACACCTGAGATTAAGATCCCTACTAGCTTTCAAACAAAGCTTTGCTTTAGGCAGAAAAGGTTACAAACTAAAAGATATGATGTCATGTAAAATTTCTGAACTTTTAAAGCAGTAACTTTTTTTTCTGAGATAGTTCCTCTTGTGTTGATGTTGAAATGTGAAACGTACCCATTCTCAGGAATTCTGTCAGGGCTGAGATCCTGGTGACCGTTTGATGTTTTCTGTAGTTCCATTTTAAACTGTACAATGCTTAACAATCCTCTAAAGAACACTGTCTGCAAGGTCAAGCTCTGTCAACACAATCTGAAACACAGAAAAAGGTTCTAGGATAAATGATCATATTACTGACAACTGAAATCAATGTGAAACATAAGTGCTTTGCTGAAAAAAGTGCAAAAATGTCAAAAATCTGGAACATAAATTGCAGATCCATGCTCAGATCCGCTTAAGCAATGAGATCAGTGACAATCACTTGTTGCATTTTTCTTAATTATGTGCAACAGGACCATAACCTTCATGTAAATAATTTCAAGGTCGAGGAGAAGGCAGGGGAAAAGTAATGGTAAAAACGTTCTTCAGAGCATTACTGCACGCTAAAAACACCTAATGGAAAGATGAGCCTTGATAGAGAACAGCTGTGAGTGTCTGTGTGCGTATATTCCCCCTTCATCATCAAATTCAGGCTGGTAAGTTAGTTGTGGGCAGTACTCTGCAGTTCTGTGTTTTTAAAGCTTGATAATTTTAATATGTGGGAGGTGCAATTACATGCAGGTTAAAGTTACTAGAGTAGTAACCTAAAAACTAAATATATTCAGATCTTCCCAAAAAAGAAGAGTATCATGCTATTGCGAATTCAGCTGACTGTTTTCACACAGGTTTCCTGTACACGATTGCCATTGGTCAGGTGAATGGATAACTCTGCCTCCAAATTCTTAATTTTGTTTAAGCCATTGTTGCTGTGTTTAGTTGGTCGGGATGCTTAACCAGGAGGTCAAGGTTTTACTGGTTAGCATGGCCCTATGGTAACAGCTTTCTCTAAGTATTACAGGCCTATAGGTCAACTATTTAACCATTAAAAATTGCAATCAAGTACTTAATATGTGATTACGTACATTACATTATTTAAAATGTAAAGTAAAACTTTTAATTTGACAAAGTGCACTTTTTTAAAAAGTGGAAACTTTTAAAGAAAATTAAATTTACTTAAGTGGTCTTTTATTTCATTAATATTATATTTAACATTTAAAAAATACTTTTTAACAATTTTAAGTACACTAAAGTGCACACTGAATACAATTTAAGTGCTCATCTCTTTCACAAGGGTAATTAATCATGAAGCTATAGTGTTGATGGACACACCACAGTGTGAGACATATGTTATGATTATAAATAAACCAAGAATTGTATGTGTATATCATATAGGCATCTTTTAGTACAAATAGCATGGCTGATGCAACTTTTCTTAAGCTTGCACTCTCAGCATGGCAAGGAAACATTGTGAAAAATGTGCCAGTTCTTGTAGGTCAGGAAATACTTAAGTCTTAATCTGTCTTTCAGGATACGGGCAGCAGTAGCCTTATTAGGGAAAATGTCTGTATTCATTCTGTGCTTTATTTTGGTTTTGACGCCGAATTCCCTGAATACGTTAAGTCTTGCCAAAAGCTTGGCAAGCACAGAACTTCAGTCTTTAGTGGTCAAGCTACTAGCAAAATAAGTCAGTGAATATAAAATATCAGAAATTTATTTAGCTTTAGAGCCACAAATTAATTAATGCTCCATTCAAAACACTATATTTAAGACCACCATCATACTCTTTACAATCTATTATGTGCTTGTTTAAAGACAAGAGATATACAGTTCAATTGAAGTGTACTTTAACAGTGTTCCATCATCCATAAAGTAAAATATGTCTATGGAAAAGAGGTTAACGCAAAAGTTACTCGTGACAAACCATCAACTCACTGCCAAAATGAACAACTGGTGTGAAATAAAGCATGAAGTGAATAAAACATCTTACAGAAACTGTAAAACAAGGGAAGTTAATCCTGTGAGGCAAGTCTTGGCCACATGACTCCTGTCTGATGCAAGACTTTATCTGTATTGAAACAGAATGAACCTCCCTACACACCCTTATTCAAACACATTGTATTCCAGCAGGAAGTGGACGTTGAGAAAGTACTCACCACTGTGGGATAAAGAGAAACCTTGAGAAATGTCAAAAGTCTCTAAGTGTAGCTACGTGGTATCCTGAGGTCAGAGAGTCCTCATTCATTCGTTTGTTTCTGTGTTGCCTCAGTGAAGTTGTCCAAGCTTGTGTGAGAACACATTCAGAGCTCACCTGTGTCCTGAGACGGGGGAGGGGAGGAGATTAACTCCTGTGTGGAGGAGTGGACATGTGTCTATATTTAGGGACGCCCTGGCACGATGCCACCATCTTAACACTCTCTTATACGTTAAAAATAGTGAATCGGCAGAGGTTTGTTATGTATGCGTATGCTTATGCATGAATACAAATTATAATATGGTAGAAAAAAGACATTCAGGCATTAGAGTACTGATGAATGTTCACGTTGGAAATGTTTAACAATTTGGTGGATTGTTTAATATGGGTGGGGTATAAAGTTGGGTAAGGGGTTATAAAGTATGTGGGAGAAGGTAGGGGATTGTTGGTAAGTGTGTGTGTGTGTGTGTGTGTGTGTGTGTGTGTGACACGTGGCCATTTGGTCACAAGTGTTTACTTTTAGCTATAATAAAAAGATTGATATTAAAAATGTTGTGTGTTTATCGTCATCAAACAGGATGTTCTCACACAAAGACTAGCATCTTGACAGGAACTAACATACAGTATATAACACATGTGGGCCTCACTCACAGCAAGCTATTGTTGTAATGCCTTGTGGGTAAAACAAAGCTTTACACGGGACTCAAAACACTAGATGTTATCAAGTCTAATGGTCTATACTTATTATATTGGAGGAAACATAATCTATTGTTATTTTCTGGTAACTCGCCTAAGACATGTCAAATTCTGAGAAATTCAGTTGAACAATATCAGTGATCCAACACAAGATAAACTCTGTGATATCTCACAAGAACAGACTCTTCAAGAAATGCCTCTGTCAACATTCACTGAAACGTTATAACCGGTCACAAAGTACCATTACGTACTGTTGACATTAAACACCTTTATGCCAAAGTGGAACTGAAATCCTACAGCTATGACGCATTTTAAACCAGTGAAGTGGCTTTTGAAGCTCTGAATATATGTGAAAAATAAAACTGCTGCATGGAAATGTGGTGGATTGTATAATATTCAATCTTATTCCATCACTTCAATCTCTATTCACCCCACATCCTGTCTACATCTCATGTGAATCCTGTGAATCTGAAGTTTGTGTGTGAGTATTTGAGTATAAGAGCGAGAAAATGCTATAAATATGATAAATATGCCAATTCATAATCCATATCAACCAAGTGCCACTGTAAACAAGGGACATTCAAATTTAAGTCTATTTTAGAATCTAGATATACTGTATATGCATGGTAGTCTGTACAACAGCAGCCATTACAATTATACTGTATGAGAAATATACAATAATTCTACTATGATTAAATGGAGAAACAGTGTACAGATCCATGTGAACCTACAGACAATTGTGTGATTGTTCTCTGAGCTGCTTCTGTCATGAATTATTGCTGCTTTCGGCTATATAGATGGCCACATTGTCTTTCTACTTCCTTCTCAGAGAATATCTCATGAATGGTGCTAACAATTAATCAAGAAACAAATTAACTAGTTATTATTAACTAGTGACTCTATATAAAGAAACCATTAGACAACTGTCCACTATGTTGTTTGTACTGACATACTGCTGAGAGAATATTTGAGAGATAATGTCGTTTTCTTACCTTTTGATACTTTAATTAAAAATCTTCAATGTAGGGCACAAAAAGATCTTCCATCTTCCGTATATAAAAAGAGAAGAATTATGGTTTGATGCTCCTAGATGGTTCTTGAATATGTCATCTAATACAGACAGATGGAGTGAAAGGGAGAGACAGAGAACTTGAAAGACAGAAAGATGGTAGAATTTAGTAAGGGAAGTTTTAAACCACACCTTCGATTCTAAAAAAGAGCGGGACTTCCAGTTTGTCCCGCCCGCTTCTCAAGTCAGTTGTTCTGAATCTCACTTCTCTTTCTTTCCCTTTGTGTGTACATACCTACAGCCAAGAAGTGAGCTAAATCAGACAAAACCTCATTATGAAGGCATTTGATTCTTGAGTCTTGATTGGGAGAAAAAAATGGGCCATGTTCTCTGTTTAATTAAGGGCATCATCCAGACCAGGAATGAGAATTTTCTTTCTAAATTTTCATTGTGAGCATACTACTCACACTATTCATAGTATAGAATAGTGCATAAATATGTGAATTGAGACACACCTCTTCTGTTGCATTTGTACTGTTTTGGCTTTGTAAGGCAGAACAGCAAAGGAATATCACGCTTCTGGCCAGGAATTTCAAGGGAGCTCATTTACTTAGCATTTAGCAGACAAACAGTAGGGTTGTAGAAGAGACTGAAAAATGCTCTCTGTAACTTTTCAGTCATCACCCTTTAAGGCGTCTAGTCAGAATCCCCAAAAGCACCTCTTCACTAGTTATTTTGTTTACCTATTTGTATTTAATTGTTTTCAAGCTATTATGCCTTTTAAACTCAAAGTTCTTCATGCAGAGACAGGTAGACAGATAAAAAAGGGTGTATGGTAATTGATCCAGGTTCCCCCTTGAAACCGATTTGAAACCTAGAAGTTTCAAATCCTCATTATTTAAGGATCATCTTCATTTGCACAACTTTCTTGACATGTTAAATTTGTTAAGCACTTACGTTTAAGTTATTTAAACGTAAATGTAATTTGTCATACTGGTACACTTTTACAAAAGCTGTCACTGGGCTGGTAGCTACCCTCTTAAAAGGTACTAACATTTGGGTACTGATATGTATACAGTGGGGTGGTCATGTTTTATGGTTCATATTTATTTTACTGTTTAAATTTAGCTAATAAAGCCTATAATTGTTTTTGTACATTTTTTCCCCCTATGTTTTTGTCAAGAACTTATCTTAATAATAATACATTTTACAAATAAATATTTAATGTGACAACAAGCCCTGGTGTCCCTTATAGAAATAATTAATTGGGTACTTGTTTTACATTTCAATAAAACATAAAAAAAATATCAGTGTGCAGGCATACCCAAATTTGGTTTTTGTATAAAAATGTATGGATGAAATTGTTAAATAATTGTTTTCAGTAGGTCAATTAATCAAAGAAAGGTTGATCAAATTTATCTAATTTTAGAAATTACATTTTAGACGACAGAAAGGGGACTTTTGTTTTGTTCCCTTTTCCACTCAAGCGCAAACCCGGAAGAAGGAAATAATGTCCGTCGTCGTCCACTAGCTCAAGTCAGTTTGAGGTCGAGTGGAAGGTAAGCAAACAAATATTATTTCAAACAAACACATAGTTTACAAGTAAGTAATAGTTTGTTTTCGGTAGTTGTTTATACTTTGCCGAAGTCGCTTGAGCTCTTATTTGAAATTAAGCTGGATCTCAGCCGTTTCACACTTTGCTATGAGAGCAGATGAGTCTGAACAGACAGTTAACGTTAGCGGCTGCTGCTAGCAGACTGACAGTCTTACTAACTGAGAATAGTTCTTGTGTTTTTACTTTCCATACGTTCTCTTTAGGCCTGTAATTATTAGAATTATAAGAATTTATTAGCCTTGATAGTGCTTGTAAAACTGCATAAATGTTAAATAAACAAACCCACTAAAAGCGTGGGTTTGAACTGACAAACTTTAGCGTGCGTGTTTACGTTGTTTGTTTTTTTTCCGTTTTTCTGTCTGTCGTGTTTCTCCATGATGGACTTTATTAGTATTAAGTGTTGTTCATCAGATGGCATGTTTATGACATTATGATTTTCGTTGTCAACTTTGTTTCATTTCTTTTTATTAGTCAGACGATTTATTCCGAGTAAAATTCCCCTTGCTGTCTGCAAACGCTTCTCTTCCAGACCTCAGTCTCAGTGACATCAGCCGTGGAAGTTGAGTCAGATGACAAATATAGCGTTTGTTTGAATTTCCAAGCAGTGTAACGCAAATGTACGTCTTCAGCCGGTATTTAATGCTTGTTTTGGCCACGGCGCAACAAAGGGCCAGTCAGACCGTACAGGCGTGGAGTTTCTGGGAAGTGGAAGATTTGAGTGTTAAAGGACTGTGGCTTGCAGTGTAAATGTTGTAGCTAATGTTAAATGTTGCCTTTCACTGAATACCTGCACAAGAAGCCCCTGGGAAGCTGGTAATGGAAGGAATGGTGGTATTTGGGGGTTCGTGGCATCTGAAAAATTAAAAAACCTCTCTCATAGATTAAACACATTGTATCTAACCATATCAGATTCAAAGCTCTGACTTGTGAAGTGTCAAAACAACCTGGACTATTTTGTATTCTTTTTGGAGTTATAAACATGTCTAATTTTGTCCATTCTGATGCAACATGGTTTTCCTGTCCAGTTAACCATGGCGATGACAAGTCAGACGTCCTGCTCCTCGATGAGCAACCACACTAAGGAAAGGGTCACCATGGCCAAAGTGACGCTGGAGAATTTTTATAGCAACCTGATATCACAGCATGAGGAAAGGGAAATGAGGTGAGACCCAAAAAGGCAAAATACTTTTTCTTTGCTTTAATGTTATTTTTAGGTATATAGACTTTACCATTTTTTTCATTGAACATTTGTTGTAGCCCATGTGCTGGTTAAAATACGTGAGAAATATGTAGTTTTGAATCTTTCGCTAGTGAACCGGTTTGGCAGGTCTAAATGAATCACTAAGCATTTGGACACATGCATGTAATTCTTCACATACTAGGGCTGCACAATTAATCGAATTTCTAATCGCGATTACAATTATAGATGCCACAATTACGTAATCGTTCAAAGCAGCAATTAATCGTTCAAAGTCCACTTATGTTATTCTGTGTGCTTAAGATGTGTTTTTTTTTCTACATGTTATCTAAAGGGTTTTCCCATTGTTTTAATTTAAACACTATAATACCATTCTTTTTTTTATAATTTAAAGAAGAAACCAATCCGATGTATAGTTGACATTTGAGGCTTAATACTATAGAAAATCACAAAGTTTTTCAGTTAGTGTTTTCAGCTTGTTTATTTTCATATAAAAATATGGCATGCAGTTGCATCAAACAATGGTATAAACATCATTCAATGTAAATTGTGATAATCGTAATTAATAATCGCAATTACAATTTCAAGGGAATAATCGACAATTATGATTTTTGTCATAATCGTGCAGCCCTATCACATACTGTAGGTTTGAGTGAATATGGTGAGACGACTATCTGTCATTATCACCCATTGTTTCTTTAAGAACCTCCCAAATTCCAGGGGCCCTTTTAGACGGTCTGTTCCGTCCCTCTTGAAATGATGTCAGACTAGGCGACCACACCTTTCATTGGAGTTATGAAGCAATTCTGCCTCTTGGTGCTAGTGTTTCATCACATGTCTAAAAGTTATCCTTTATCTGTTACAGGCAGCAAAAATTGGAGAAGGTCATGGATCAAGAGGGACTAGGTGATGAAGAGGTGAGCGTTTCTGAAATACTGGTATTTTTTTCTGAAAGTATTTCCTTGCTTACATTTACAAACATCTTGATCTAGATACTGGTGGTTTTGTTAAATATTAAAACACACAGAAGTTCAGAATATAATTTCTTGTGATCTGTCGATTTCATTTCTGCTTTTTCTGGTCCTGCAGAAGTGTCTCCGGCGGTCTGAGCATGCTAGGAAAGAGACTGAGTTTCTTCGTCTCAAGCGAACACGGCTTGGATTAGAGGACTTTGAGTCACTCAAAGTGATTGGCCGAGGAGCTTTCGGAGAGGTATGAGTTTCTTTCTGTTAAAGACCTCATTAATTAAAAAAATTTAGTTGTTTTTTGCATGTTCATGTTAGCTGTGAGGCAGTTTGTGTATTGTATGTACTCTACCATTATATATATATTTTCAATATTAAAATGGAAAACAGTTGTTTTAAATTGTAACAGTATTTTACAATATTACTGTTTTTACTGGATATAAATGCAGCCTTGGTGACTTTTCATAAACAACAACAAAAAATCAGAACGGTAGTGTATTTTGTGATATTTTAGCACATTTAAAATCCTCTTTATTTCTCTAGGTGCGGTTAGTTCAGAAGAAGGACACAGGACACGTTTATGCCATGAAAATCTTGCGTAAGGCTGATATGCTTGAGAAAGAACAGGTAAGTCTTCACTGATGGAGTCGCGTATGACCACACGTGACATTTAAGGTTCTTTGTCTTGTTAACAGGTCTCTGTTTTCTGTTCAAGGTTGGCCATATTCGAGCAGAAAGGGACATCCTTGTAGAGGCAGACAGTCTGTGGGTGGTGAAGATGTTCTACAGCTTTCAGGATAAGATGAACCTCTACCTCATCATGGAGTTTCTGCCTGGAGGTGAGTGCAGGATGTCAGATCATTTCAAAGAAACCTTTACAATCAACAAGATGGTACTAAAGCCACTCCAAAGGATGATTGATATATGCATGCGTGTGATTGCCCAGGTGATATGATGACTCTACTGATGAAGAAAGACACTTTAACGGAGGAGGCCACACAGTTTTATATTGCTGAGACTGTGCTGGCTATTGACTCCATTCACCAGATGAGCTTCATCCACAGAGACATCAAACCAGACAATCTTCTGCTGGACTCAAGGGTAAAAACATATTAAACAGTACTTGAATAGAATCATCAAAATCAATTATCTTTAGCAAAATAAAGTGTTTTTGAAGTAGGACATTGTTTAGAACTACAACCCGAATTCCGGAAATGTTGGGACGTTTTTTAAATGTGAATAAAATTAAAACTAAAAGAATTTCAAATCACATGAGCCAATATTGTATTCACAATAGAACATAGGTAACAAATGTTTAAACTGAGCAAATTTGAACAAAATGAGCTCATTTCAAATTTGATGCCTGCTACAGGTCTCAAAATAGTTGGGACGGGGGCATGTTTACCATGGTGTAGCATCTCCTCTTCTTTTCAAAACAGTTTGAAGACGTCTGGGCATCGAGGTTATGAGTTTCGGTGTTGGAATTTGGTCCCATTCTTGCCTGAAGTAGGTTTCCAGCTGCTGAAGAGTTCGTGGTCATCTTTAACGTATTTTTCGTTTAATGATGCACCAAATGTTCTCTATAGGTGAAAGATCTGGACTGCAGGCAGGCCAGTTTAGCACCCGGACTCTTCTACTACTTGTAATAGCTGCAGTATGTGGTTTTGCATTGTCCTGCTGAAATACACAAGGCCTTCCCTGAAATAGACGTCGTCTGGAGGGTAGCATATGTTGATCTAAAACCTTTATATACACCTTTCAGCATTCACAGTGCCTTCCAAAACATGCAAGCTGTCCATACCGTATGCACTTATGCACACCCATACCATCAGAGATGCTGGCTTTTGAACTGAACACTGATAACACGCTGGAAGGTCTCCCTCCTCTTTAGCCCGGGGGACACGGCGTCCGTGATTTCCAACAAGAATGTCAAATTTGGACTCGTCTGACCATAGAACACTTTTTCACTTTGAAACAGTCCATTTTAAGTGAGCCTTGGCTCACAGGACACGACGGCGCTTCTGGACCATGTTCACATATGGCTTCCTTTTTGCATGATAGAGCTTTAGTTGGCATCTGCAGATGGCACGGCGGATTGTGTTTACCGACAGTGGTTTCTGGAAGTATTCCTGGGCCCATTTAGTAATGTCAATGACAGAATCATGCCGATGAGTGATGCAGTGTCATCTGAGGGCCCGAAGACCACGGGCATCCAACAAAGGTCTTCGGCCTTGTCCCTTACGCACAGAGATTTCTCCAGTTTCTCTGAATCTTTTGACGATGTTATGCACTGTAGATGATGAGATTTGCAAAGCCTTTGCAATTTGACATTGAGGAACGTCACAATCAAGTATTCCACAATCTTTTTACGCATTCTTTCACAGATTGGAGAACCTCTGCCCATCTTTACTTCTGAGAGACGCTGCCTCTTTAAGACATCCCTTTTATAGCTAATCATGTTACAGACCTGATGTCAATTAACTTAATTAGTTGCTAGATGTTCTCTCAGCTGAATCTGTTCAAATTTCTTGCATTTTCAGCCCTTTGTTGCCCCCGTGCCAACTTTTTTTAGACCTGTTTCAGGCATCAACTTTTAAATGAGCTCATTTAGTGGATAAAAGTGTAAAATTTCTCAATTTAAACATTTGTTATGTTCTCGGTTATATTGTGAATAAAATATTGGCTCATGTGATTTGAAAGTCTTTTAGTTTACATTTTATTCAAATTTTTAAAAAGTCCTAACATTTCTGGAATTCGGGTTGTATTTAGGTGTTTGTCACAATATTAAATTATGAATACCATTAATAATACCAGTTACATTTCACTTAGTACTACTGATACTGTAGAAAGACCGATATTATTACATTATATTTTTTTTAGTATTGTCTTGCGATCTCCCTATAGGCAACTCTGACGTGACCATGAAACATTAAAGGGGGCATATAACACACATTTTCACCCAATCTCATGTTAATCTTGAGTACCTATAAAGTAGTATTGCATCCTTCTGATCTCCAAAGAGTCTTTATTTTTCTCATATTTATAAAAGAAAGATACAGCTTTACTATTCTCTCCGAAAACAGCCAAGCTCCTGGAGGTGCACCGTGGGCAAAGCTAAAGAGTGACGAGACGTTTGATGCCGTTTTACTTACCGTCTGCAATGACCGGGATCTTTTATCGCTGGGACCGCTCCATCTTTCAGTATCAAACGATGTGCAAATCCAGCGTCGAACTGGGCCTTGTTTATAAAACGTTCGTCAACAAACACACTTGCAAAACTCCTTTTTTTACCCGGAAAAACAAACTGCATCCACTGTTTACGTAACGCTTCATTCTTTGGGAAGCTGAACAAAGGTTATTTTTCCCTTACAACCAAAAGCACACTTCTTTGGAGACATTCTTCCCAAGTGAGTCCCGTGCAGTGCTGCTGAATGAAGCGCATTTATGGGCATGCTCTTGTTCTCTCTCTGGTTGATGTGTGCGTGGGTGCGTTCTTCCTGGAGAAGTGCCCATACAAGGAGCTCCATTCTTCATGACGTCATGAAGAGCCATGCTCGGAAAAAAAAACTTTCCGAAATTTGTACGAACCCGGAAGGAGTGTATTTGGCACAGAAATACTCTTCTACATCCAGATCATTTTTTGAAACTTTGGCCAACTTTTTAACAGTGTAAATAACTCAACATGCGTGAAATGGCATTATACCCCCCCTTTAAAGCTCAATCTAACAGCCTAGTAGGTCACATAGCCTTGATCTTATGAGTGCTTCTCATTCACAACATCATTTTGCTCTTTCAGGGCCACGTGAAGTTGTCTGATTTTGGCCTATGCACTGGTCTGAAGAAAGCTCACCGCACAGAGTTCTACAGAAACCTTAATCACAGCCTTCCCAGCGACTTCAGTAAGACTTATCACTGTCCATAACTCCTGTCTTCAAAGACACATGATCATTCATAAATCATTCTAATGTCCTGATTTTCTGCTCAATAAACTTTTCTTATCATTATCAACATTGAAAACAGTTGTGCTGCTTTATTTTTATGGAATCCATCTTTTTTTTTTTCTGCATTCTTTGATCTGTCTTTTCAGCAGTTTAAATTTAATGCATACTTGCTTAATGAATTTCTTCTTCAAAAAAAAACAAACTTACTGACCCAGAACATTTGAATGGTATTGTAGATGGAAAAAATGAAGGGGCTGCATGGCTGATTCTGTAATTTTGGATTTATTTTTTTCTTCAGCATTCCAGAACATGAACTCGAAGAGGAAAGCAGAAACATGGAAACGAAACAGGAGACAGTTGGTAAGAGTTTCCTCTTGACCCAATACTGTTCTACACACAGTGGGTGGGTACAGATAGATCCAGTGTTTCAGGAAGTTATTGTGAAATGAATGTGTTCTTAATATGGTAGTTGAAGATTGTAGAAGTACTGAAGAAGGATTACTATGTACTCTTGTGTAATCCATTAGATCTCACAATGTTTTTTGTGTTGCATCAGAAGTAAAAAGAGTTTTGGAGATAAAAATATTTGTTTTTTTTTCAGGCCTTCTCCACTGTTGGAACCCCTGACTACATCGCTCCAGAAGTGTTTATGCAAAATGGGTATAACAAGCTTTGTGATTGGTGGAGTTTGGGCGTCATTATGTATGAAATGCTGATAGGTGAGTCGATTTTTGGTTAATAAATAAAATAAGTATGTTTATTTTGATATATGGCTAAAGTGTTTGGTTTGTGTGGGTGTTTTTCAGGTTACCCTCCATTTTGCTCTGAGACGCCTCAAGAAACTTACAGGAAAGTGATGAACTGGCAGGAAACTTTGACATTTCCACCTGAGGTCCCAATTTCAGAAAAGGCCAAGGATCTGATCCTCAGGTTTAGCATTCTCGCTACTTGTCATTCTCCCACTTCTTTTTATAAGGCTTTATTTTCATCTTTTTTGCTGTGATTCTATACCATTATTTTAAGATTTATACCATTATAAATCTGGTGGTATTTATACCATCTATACCAGGGGTGCCCAAACTCGGTCCTGGAGGGCCGGTGTCCTGCAGAGTTTAGCTCCAACTTGCCTCAACACACCTGCCTTTACGTTTCTAGTATGCCTAGTGAGAGCTTGATTATCTGGTTCAGGTGTGTTTAATTGGGGTTGGAGCTAAACTCTTCTGGACACCAGCCCTCCAGGACCGGGTTTGGACACCCCTGATCTATACAATTATTTTTACTTTATCTTAGCTGTAGCTCATCTCTCAACCGAGTGCATTTTGCTTTCATTAACCATGCTGCTAAACTACATGAGACATGGCTTATTTTAAGCAGTCAGTTTTTCTTCAGTGTTCACCTAGTGTTTTGTTGTTTTCCACCAGGTTCTGCTGTGAGAGTGAGCACAGGATTGGAGCCACTGGAGTGGAGGAGATCAAAACTAACCCTTTCTTTGAGGGAGTGGACTATGACCATATCAGGTAAACTGTCATCACACACAGATTAAACTGGCTTTGAGTAATGAAATCATCTTACTATTAATGTATAATGTCTTTTGCGTAATCATTATAAATATTTTAAACCGTTATATGCTACATTGTCAAATGATCTCTCTTAATTTGTCACATGACCCGGTCACATTGCATGTTTAATTCAGCACGTGGTACCCAGTTATCATTCAGGAAGTGTTTTTTATTTAGTTAGTTTAATGATTTGTTTATTTATTTTTTCAATTTTAATCCAGTTTTGTTCAAAAATGACTTTGGTCAAATAATCAGATAGGAATAAAATATAGTAATTTTGGGGCTTGTATTACTACTGGTTCATTCATCATGCGACAATTGGAAGCTCAAGTAGAGCACATGTGGGATACATTTTTCCATGCAGTGTGCTCTTTAAATCTGGATACTGCTTATTTAGGCAAATCTAGGTTATATGGCTACTCTGTGCTTGACATTTGCACACCAAACACATTTGTGTTATCATTCAAAAGTTTGGGGTCAGTAAGATTTTATTTTTTTCTCGAAAAATCTCTTCTCACCAAGACTGCATTTATTTTAGTCTTCAGTGTCACATGATCTTTCAGAAATCATTCCAATATGCAGATTTGCTCCTCAATTTTTTTCCGTTAGGGAGAGGCCAGCGGCTATTCCGATTGAGATCAAAAGCATTGACGACACCTCCAACTTTGACGAGTTTCCTGATTCAGACATCCTCCAGCCTTCAGGTTTGTTTTTAGTTAGTTGTAACGCTTTCTAAAATACATGACATTTTTTATGGCTTTTATGTATTTCAAAACATCTTATTCTCACTCTCTTTCTCTCAAGTCGCTCCTGTGTCCAACCACACTGAGGCAGATCTGAAGAGTAAAGACTGGGTGTTCATCAACTACACCTACAAGCGCTTTGAGGGGTTGACCGCACGGGGAGGCATCCCATCGTACATGAAAACTGGGAAGAGATAGGCTTCAGTAGCACTTGATAACTTGCTGCACTCTTTCAATGGTTGTTTTTCCAAAAGGAGATATTCTCCATTGCTCCTCCTCGCATCTGAAGGATCCTACATCATCCGTTTCCTGTTTTGACTCACCCATTTATGGATGTGGACTTCACCCACACTCAGTCCATAGAAAGACACGTGCAAAGTTTTATCTAAGGGCTTCTTTTACTTTTAACATTTTTTAAAATTTTGTTGCGCTCACCATCCAAGATCTCAGCGACAATGGAAAACATGGGGCTTCGTAAGTCAGTCTGATCTGAATGTGATTCACACAAACCCCCAGAGCTGCAGATGTTGCCTTGCATTCGGATCTTCCTTATACACCAGCAGAAACATCATGAATGCATTTGCCAATCAAACCAAATTGTTCATCAACATACCAGGAAACTTTACCAGCTGATGTCAAAGACCAAGCAAACTCTAGCAAACGGACCAGTGTTTGTTTTTTATTTAATGGGTTGTTTTAGCCACTGACTGATTCAGAAGTTGCTTGGTGCTAATGCTGTTGTTTTTCTTAATAAAGGGGCATGTTGCTGATGTTTGGGGAACAAAGCCACTTTTTTTTTGCATCTTGAGGAGAATAACAACACTATTCAGGGATTTGAATTTGATCGAGTCTTCCATTTTAATATGGGGATGAAATGTTCAATGCAAAATTTTTATATTACCAAAGAGGCTCCACTTTTGATCGGCTTTATGGGCTTGACTCTCGATGTTGTTTGATCGTGGATGCTTTGGCTTTCATACAGCATTAATTCTTAAGCTGTTAACGTATAAACCTGTAGCAAAATATTAATTCCATAATGGTTCCAATCAGTCTGCGTTATTGGAAGCTGCTTGTATCAGCATGTTGCTTGTGAGGGCTGACTTTGTAAAAATCAAACAAAGGTGCAAGTATGATTTTCAGAAGTGTGTGGGATTCCAGACAGTGAATGACTGAGTCATATTTCTACAATCAGGACCCATATGTCTTCTTTCTGTGACCAAATTGAATGTATCTTGAAGATTCAAAGAGGCTTCTAGAAGTTGCATTCATTTAGGATTGGCTGCCCTGGAATGATCTGAGATTCACCTAAATGCTTAAGTGAATGATTTGGCGACTACACACAGCATGACAAAGGTTTTGTATATGGAATTGCTTGTTAGATCTCTAGCTGAGCAGCTGTTGAACACAATATACTGCTAGAGAAATGTTATCACAAATAACAGATTACTGTATCCCAGAATGCTACAAATAGAAGTAGCATGAAATCGTGATTGAATGGTGTGTTTTTATCCTTAGAGCAATATGTGACCGTCTTAGGTCTGGATGTGTATTATTATTATTATTTTTTAATATATAATAGTGGCTGGAGATTTTCATGCTGTCTGAGAGTCGGCCTGTTGCATGTTTTTGTGTGCTGGACAAGTCAAAAGAGCTATGAATGAATTTGAGAATTAGTATTTTGATTTTCTTTGTGCTGCTTTGTTTATTTGTTTCACTTGTTCTACTATCATTGAATGGGAATATGTGAGGGTGATTTCATGGTTATCGCTTATGAAAGATGGCTTGATGAAATTATACACTGTCTACAAGTAGCAGATCACAGGCTGGGCTGCTTTGTATCTCTTGTTGCTGTATTGCACATGCTGAAAATTATCATGAAACCAGCGTGTCATAATGATAGTGTCTTTTTTTAAAATCTCACCTATTTTTCTGTGGGTTTCTTGCTTGCATCCTTGTCCTAATGTGAGGATACTCTCTTTGAAAGAGAAAAAGGACTCTTTTTTTTTTTTTTCTCAAAGATTAACAATGCACCTTTTGCTAGTTGTGATGTCATGTATATTTAAAATACACACACACACACACGTGTCAAGTTATTAAATACACACTGAATGACTGTTTGCCTGTAAGAGTTTGTAATTCTTTCTGCAACTTTTTTCACCTAACCAGATATAGACTAGTCTTAAGATTTTCGGGGTCTATATTTACTTGCTTAGAGCTAAAGAAATAATTACACCAATGTGTATAAAGGAGTTTATTCACACTGGCACTAGTGCTCACAAACTATCGGTGCAGGAGATCTCAGATTTTTTGCTGTTAATCCAGTGCTGATGGAGGAACAGCACTCCTGCTTCTGAATGGTTTTGAACACGGTTCCAGTTTTCACTGATGTCACATTCTGCTGTGGGAGGTGGACATTTGTCCTCTCTCTGCCTTAAGTTTGAGTTGTAGAGTGTTTGTGGATTTTTCCTGCGCTCACAGAGCACCTTTCACTGGTTTATTTGTTTGATAGAGAGTTTGTTTTTGAGGTGTGGGCACACTTTGACCTGTTAAACGTCCTGAATAAAATACCAGTTAATTTAAATGAGTATGAGGCTCTTCTGTTCCTTTTACATAGGAACATTTTGTACCTTAAAACATATATTATACATTTTGAATAAAAAAAAGTCCCCTCAACAATTGCTGTTTTTATTAAAGAACATACAGTTCTTGAAATGTATGTATTTCAGAAAAGTCACTATAAAAGCATGTTAAATGTATGATTATCTATCTATCTTTTATTTAGACCTTTTTATTGCTTTTTTTTTAATCTTTTTTTTAATTGAAGAACATACCGTGCTAGAAATGTATTTTAATCGGAAAATCGTAATGGTTAATTATCTTTTGTCAATTGAATTATCAACCGCTGTTATAATGTATGTAATTGTTTTAAAGTAAGGCTGCTTTAAGTACAAGTTAAAGGGATAGTTCACCCAAAAATGATAATTCGGTCGTCATTTACTCAACCTCAAGTTGTTCCAAACCTGTAGGAGTTTCTTCTGTTAAACACAAAAATATATATTTTGAATACTGTTGGTAATCAAGTCAATGGCTACCGTCAACTGTTTGGTTACCAACATTCTTCAAAATATCTTCTTTTGTGCTCAACAGAAGAAAGAAACTCGTGTACGTTTGGAACAACTTTTGAGGGTGAGCAAGTGATGACAATTTTTATTTTTGGGCGAACTATCCCTTTAAGGAATATTTTTAAGCATTGTTTGCTGGCATCCAAATTAGGAACCTGTGACTATACTCGACCCATTGTTGATGAAGTGAACTGTTTGACCTTTTTAACACAAATGTGAATGTGAACCTTTTTTCTAAACAGTTCATTAACAGCTCTGCTCTATAAATAGTACACCGATAGTTTGAACATGTTTTTCAATCCCACGCATTTGTGACTTGGTCAAACTCATTCTTAACACTTCTATTCATCAGTGACTAAGGAATATGGGCTATTAATTTGACTTTTTAATCTTTGAAACGTTTTCAAACATTGTTCTGGGAAAGTTGAGCTGTTCTTCTTAGTGTTATCTGGTAAAAACCCCTCAAGAGCAGAAGGATGAGTGCCGCCATTGCAGCAGATATGAACACGCTTATCAGCGCCATGTTTCGGACAATGCTGCTGGGATACGGGTTTCCTGTGGTCGTCATGTTAGGAAACAGGCTCTCTGGGTTTTCCCAGTGAATCAGACCTTTGGCAAAGTCTAAACTCACTTCTTTGGGTGATAACACTTTCACCCCTTTATACATTCTCTTCACTCTTCGTTTGCCGGTGTCCAGTACGTCACAGCGGTATGTCCCAGAATCCTCTTCTCCGAGGGGGTCTAGCACCACCTTGTCCAAGCTCAGGGCTTCATAGCGGCTGAATAACAAGTCATCAGATGTGATGATTCCATGGGCAAAGCGCCAAGACACCACAAATGCAAAGCGGCCCATGGCTTCCATCACTTCCTCTAAGCAGTCTAGCACCAGACGCTGACCAGCAGTTGCCGTTTGGGTCTTCAGTCCACACTGCCAGGTGTCTAGGCAGCGGATGGTCCTCATCTTGCAGGAAGTGCTGGAGATGTTTCTGTTTCCCTCAGTAGGGCAGAGCTCTTGAGTGTGGAGGCCAAGCCCGCAGGTGGCACTGCAGGGAAAGCTGCGGGTGATGACCCAGGTGCTGATCTTCTCCAGTTCTTGCAGTTCAGCTTTGGTTAAATTCTTACAACTGCTTGGGGAGTGCAGGAACATCCAGTGCAACAACACCAGCCAAAGTGCTGAATGAGCCATTGTGACTTTTGACATTGAAGAGGAGCAGTGATCAGCAAAAACTGCCAGAAAATATCCAGAATGAGAATCTGTAAGCCCATATATTAATATTAATATGAATAATATGATAATAATATATATAATAAATATATAATTCATATAATAATATGAATATATATATATATATATATATATATATATAT